TTTGTCCGGTTTGGGAATAAGAGATATCACTCCTTGTTTCATAGTGGGAATCATCGTTCCTGATTTAATACATTCTTGAAGCATTGATAAAAAGGGTTGCTCTAAAATTTCCCAGAAGTGCATAAAGAATTCTAAAGTGAGGCCATCGCAACCAGGCGACTTCCCTTTTTTCATCGATTTCATTGCATCCCTAATTTCATTTAATGACACAGGAGCCTCACATAATAACTTAAATTCATCACTAATTTGCGGTATATAGTTCTTAATTTGATGTAGGTATGAATCACTTTGGTTTGCTTGAAAATCAGAGGAGTATAAGTTTCTATAAAAATTTGTGACAAAATTCTCTATTTCTTCCGGGTGTTTTGAAACAGAATTTTTAATTTGCAAAGCAGAAATGCTTTTCCTTTTAAAATTCCTTTTCTCAAGTGAAAATAAATAGCTTGTATTTTTCTCTCCCTCCTCAATCCATCTCGCCCTAGACCTGACGAAGGCACCTTTAACTATTTTAATATACACTCACCGGCCACTTTATTAGGTACACCTGTCCAACTGCTCGTTAACACTTAATTTCTAAGCAGCCAATCACATGGCGGCAACTACGTGCATTTAGGCATGTAGACATGGTCAAGACAATCTCCTGCAGTTCAAACCGAGCATCAGTATGGGGAAGAAAGGTGATTTGAGTGACTTTGAACGTGGCATGATTGTTGGTGCCAGAAGGGCTGGTCTGAGTATTTCAGAAACTGCTAATCTACTGGGATTTTCACGCACAACCATCTCTAGGGTTTACAGAGAATGGTCCGAAAAAGAAAAAACATCCAGTGAGCGGCAGTTCTGTGGGCGGAAATGCCTTGTTGATGCCAGAGGTCAGAGGAGAATGGCCAGACTGGTTCGAGCTGATAGAAGGGCAACAGTGACTGAAATAACCACTCGTTACAACCGAGGTATGCAGCAAAGCATTTGTGAAGCCACAACACGCACAACCTTGAGGCGGATGGGCTACAACAGCAGAAGACTCCACCGGGTACCACTCATCTCCACTACAAATAGGAAAAAGAGGCTACAATTTGCAAGAGCTCACCAAAATTGAACAGTTGAAGACTGGAAAAATGTTGCCTGGTCTGATGAGTCTCGATTTCTGTTGAGACATTCAGATGTTAGAGTCAGAATTTGGCGTAAACAGAATGAGAACATGGAACCATCATGCCTTGTTACCACTGTGCAGGCTGGTGGTGGTGGTGTAATGGTGTGGGGGATGTTTTCCTGGCACACTTTAGGCCCCTTAGTGCCAATTGGGCATCGTTTAAATGCCACGGCCTACCTGAGCATTGTTTCTGACCATGTCCATCCCTTTATGGCCACCATGTACCCATCCTCTGATGGCTACTTCCACCATGTCACAAAGCTCTAATCATTTCAAATTGGTTTCTTGAACATGACAATGAGTTCACTGTACTAAAATGGCCTCCACAGTCACCAGATCTCAACCCAATAGAGCATCTTTGGGATGTGGTGGAACGGGAGATTCGCATCATGGATGTGCAGCCGACAAATCTGCGGCAACTGTGTGATGCCATCATGTCAATATGGACCAAACTCCCTGAGGAATGCTTCCAGCACCTTGTTGAATCTATGCCACGAAGAATTGAGGCAGTTCTGAAGGCAAAAGGGGGTCCAACCCATTACTAGCATGGGGTACCTAATAAAGTGGCCGGTGAGTGTATATCTGGTCTAATTCTAATTGCATGGTTTTTAACTGACTAATTTCTGTAACAGAGAGATTCTCTTTTTTGATTAAGTTATTAATGCTGCTTAACAAGTTAGCTTCTTTATCAGCATTAATCACTTTAAGGGCCTTAGCTCTATTAATAGCTAGTGATCGAGCTTTAAATTAAAAAAAATTCCCAATTAGCATCATGTGACTCAAGCTCATTTAAAAAAAAAAATTTGTTTAACTAATCCCTTGATCTGATCATTAAATTTTTTATCTTTCAGCAGAGTATTGTTCATCTTCCAGTAACCACGCAAGGTATTCTTCCTTTGTTTTGTTTGCAAATTCAGCTTAATTACTAAGTGGTCCGAGAATGGAGCATAATGGTGACTAACATCAAACACATACTGCAGTATCTGTTGAGAAATCAGAAAAAAATCTATTCTAGATTTAGAAGTTAGCAACTTATTACTCCATGTAAATTCCTTAACATCTGGATGATAGTAGCGCCATGCATCTGCAATATGGAGATGGTCACACAAGTTACAAATAATGTTATTACTGAGGCCCATTTTAGCAGGAAATCTGTCAGCTGAATTATCTAAAACAACATTAAAATCTCCAGCAATAATAATAAATGCCTGTTGATATTTCTTTTTTAAAGCTTCAATTTTACCCTGTAATGACAAAATAAGACTCTTGTTGGCAGAACTTAAATTGTGGCCATAAATATTACATATTATAAAAGTAGAATTATCAAGTTTAGTGACAAGATAAACCCATCTTCCTTCCGTAGAAACCAAGGACTCCACAATATCTCCATTAAACTTGTTGATCAAAATGAGAACACCAGCAGAATGATTAGAGCCATGACTAAAGTATACCTTATTGTGATTTCCAAAAACGAGCATCATTCTCACAGGAATGAGTTTCTTGTAAGAGTATTAAGTCAGCATTTGTTCTACAGTATAAGAATAGAGCCTTTCTTTTAGTGAGATCTCTCAAGCCACGAGTGTTTAATGAAATAATACTCAAAGAATTAAATTCCACGTCTTGCATTTACACAAAGAAAAAGAAAAGAGTATAAAAAAAAGACAAGAAAAAAATTTCTTGGAATATTGTTTGGATAATAAGAATGAAACCCAGAACAATAACAAGAAGAACACAGAAGGTTTTGCTTACCGCTGTAAACGTGAGCTAACACGGAGGTAGTTAAAGTTAACATATATATTGAGTCTTAGGCAAAAGTGCAACTGTAAGGGAGGACAAAACTTACGATGCTGTAGGAACCACAACAGAATACAACCAACGTTAACGTTGCTCCCTGAAGGCAGACCGCAAATATCGAGTGTCCATGTGCAAATCAAGAGTCAAGTTCGATTGCAGGTGCTTCATGAATGTAGACTGTGAATTAGAGAAATCAGTTCACCTCTCGGGAATTAAACTTGAACGCTGTTACACCTCGAAGTTGTATCTCAGGGGTTAATTTCAAGCCTTTTCCCAGCAACAAAAGCATGGGGTCCCTTCCATGAAACAACCTTTCCATCCTCACGAGCCTTCTTGACAAGCGGCCATAATTTGGCTCTAGCATCCACATCCTGCTTGATCAACGCCTCTTTGATGCGAAACTTATTATCCTTTAGAAAGCGAGAGTCTTTTGCTGCCCGCCATACCATGTCTCTGTAGGTTCGCATGGTAAAACGCATGATGATATTTCGGTGTGCTCCGTCGGATCTCCTTGGTCCTAGACGGTGTACAACATCGATTACATCATACAATTTGTTTTGGATACTAGGGATCATTATGTCGATCGTCACGCTTCTCGCATCTTCGCCATCGCGTTCAGGGACCCCTTGCAGTTTGAGATTCCATCTACGCGAGTACCGCTGCATTTCATCCAGGTTTTCTTTTAGACATACGTTTTCAGCTCGCAGATTCTTATTCTCCTTTTCAAGTTGAACGATCTTGACATCGTGCCTCATGACTTCTTCACTAATTTGAGAGACCTTTTCAGACAGTTTGTCGAGTTTTTCGCAAGAAACGGCAACCTTGCCGTGCGTTTCACCCACTTTAGTAGTTAGCTTCTGGATCGCGTCAAGGATTGTAGATAAAGAAACATCGTTCTTGCCTTTTGCATTCGACATATTCTTGGATGGAGTAGAGGAAACAGGCCTTGCAAAAACCTCTTCAAAGGCACCGACTTCTGTCTCAATATTAACAATCTCCAGGTCGGCCGACTCCAGCTCTCTTCTTCCAGGAGGTGTCCAGCTAATATAGCGCTTTCTTGAAGGGACTGATTCTTCCTTTTTTTGCCCATTTCAACAAGTCAAAAAATAAAGAATTGCTAAAAATAATCGATAGAAATAATCACACACTAATCATTACTCAAAAATTACATCTCATCTTGTCTTGTTAACTTTAAACTCCTCAAACTATTTGGACGCTTAACTAACGTGACTATTCACACCGCTGCCATCTTGGCTCCCCATCATTTCTCTGACCTAATCTTAAAATCAGCGCTTAGCGACTACGTCACGGCTTTCAGCCCGCTGTTCGTTGATTGGCCGGTTGTTTTCAGGCCGGAGGAAAACGGATAGATAGGCCGCTGTCTCAGACTGAGTACAGAAGCGAAATGAAATTGAGCGGAAGTACGAAGTCTGACGTAGTCAGGCTAGTAAATGACGCCTAATGGCATGAATTCATCGTCAGTGACATCATGCAACAACCATTGTAGAAATGCTCTGTTTAGTCGGTCATGATTTTTTTTTTTTATTATTAGTCCACTGATTTGAGTCAATGTGGGAGTACATGATTTTAAACAAAACTTTTTCAATGAGAATTAAATTACTTGAGTTCACCTCTAATTTTCTTTTTATGTGATGAGGAAGAAAGACCAGCAAAACCAGTGCAATAAATACACTAAACTTCTGTGACGATTCGTAAACTAATGACTTTAGATTGATTCATTTTGATAAATGTCTAAAACTTTGTGATACTTTTTTTTTTATTATCTAAACTTATTTTATTTTTAAATTTACATGAAATGTTATATGATATTTTTATAAATGTAAACTGTCTTTTGAAATGTGTTTCTGGTATATTGTCAGTAGTGGGGTCACAGTTCTCCCTATATTTGTGGATGCATGTTTCATCATCCACATTTGTGTTTGCATTTTCGTTTAATTCCATGTAACATGTCTGCTATATTTCACATCAGAATAAAGTGAGGAGTGTCAGTCTGTGACAGAAGAAACTGCAGCAGGTTTATCAGCCTGAATTATGGGAGGGACTGTGTCTGTTCAGGCGTTACAAGAGAAATAAACCAGGAAGGATCTCCTTACGATCGTACTAAACTTTCATATGGACACAATTTATTAAGACAGTCTTGAGAACACAGTGAATGTTGAGTTGAAGGTAAGTCATGGAAGAATCGGACACACATTTACCTGAAGTCTGGAACGAGTGTGACTCGATGACCATGTTTGAGTTCAACAGGTTTAATGCATGTAATACTTAATCTTGTAAATAAATTAAAGGTTTTTGAATCAAAATTATATATATGTTTGCATTTTTGAAAATGAAATCCTGATTCAACGACCTTCAACATGTGTCTATATGTATTTATTTGTACTACATGTAGATACACATTGTGTATTTGTATCCTGTTTTGTCTTGACCCGTTTAACCGGTTTTCTTTGAACAGAAAGTGATTGTAAATGTGTATCTCGCTTTTGGACAGAAGGTTAAGTGTAAGTGTTATTCTACGGCAAAATGCATGAATGCTGACAGTTTTCTGTAATGTTTTCTCTTTTTTCATATTTTCTTTTTAGCATCTGTGTCTCAGAGATGAAGTTCATTTGTTTGACTCTCCTGCTTGTTAGTGGAATTACAGATTCAAGATCAGGTAATTTATTCATCATTGTGAACAAAACTTTATATTTATTTATTGCACAGTAATGTTCGTCTGGAACAACATTAGGGTAAAAACCTTTAGGATGTGTAGTTCAGATCTGCTCTTTCTCTTGTAACAGAGCAGTTTGAAGTAGTGGGACCAGCAGATCCTGTATTTGCTGTCGCTGGTGAAGATGTGATTCTGCCCTGTTCAGTCAAACCCAGCATCAGTGTTGTGGACATGAGAGTGGAGTGGTTCAGACTTGATCAGAAAGACTCAGTGCATCTCTATGATGATCATGAAGACAGAAACACAGAGCAAATTCAGTCCTACAGAGGAAGAACAAAACTGATCCATCAAGAACTACAAAGAGGAAACGCATCACTCAAACTCTCAACAGTCCGAGTCTCTGATGAAGGAGTTTATAAGTGTTTTATTCAGTCTAAATCCTGGTCTGATGACGCCACTGTTGATGTCAGAGTTGAAGGTGAGGAAACCAGTGAGAACTAGCATGATCTTTTCACAGAACAAACTAACTAAAAAAAGCCAGAATAACAACATCATGTTCTTGTTGATCTGCAGCTGTGGGACGTCCTCCAGTGATCACTGTAGATGGGTTTGATCGCTCAGGAGGGCTTCATCTACAGTGTGAATCTGAAGGTTGGTATCCTGAACCTGATCTTGAGTGGCTGGACAGTGAAGGAGTCAGTTTGAGTTCAGAAACTACAGAGACACACAGAAACACAGACAGATTCAGTGTCAAACAGGCCGTCATTGTTTATCACAGTGGCAAGATTCACTGCAGAGTCAAACTGAGACATCACATGCTGGAGACACTGATCAACACCACAAGTGAGTACTGACACTTCTGTTACTGTACTTGTCAGTTATGTTTCACATGATATTTTTGATGCAGTAAAAACATTAATGATTATCCGCTTATTATGTAAAGCTAAAAGCAATGTAACGCTAAAAGCAATAGCAGCATTAGGTTTAGAATAGAGTTTTGTATCAACATTATTGATACAAATGTGTGTGAGCCATTCAGAACTGAACATTATGTAAACACCTGTAAAAATATGTTTGATTTACACAATTTGTTTTGCAGATAATAGGTTTATTTCTTGGAGGACGTCAGTCATCCTGATGTCAGTTTTTGTTGTGCTCGTTGTGATTGCTGGAATACTGATCACTGTGTTTGCTCATAATAAAAGAGGTAAGGTTCTTGTTTTCTTGCTATTTTATGTTTTATGTAAATAAATAAGACAGACTGGGGATAATTTTTTACTAATTTTTATTTATGAACATATAATGCATAACTTACACACAGACATCAACAATCTGCACATGAATCTCAACAATGGTGACAATCAAAGGTTTCATGTCGCAATGCATGCTGGGTGCCAGCATAGTACAAAACTCCCAGCATGCATTGCAGCATGAATATATTATACAGCTGATAAATTATATAGTCTTACCATTTTCTGTGTTTGCTTGTTTTTTTGCTAATGTTTTTGTTGACTTTTTTTGTACCCTGTTTTGTGATGTTCAGAGTATTATTTTACTTTTTACTGTCACCATTGTTGAGATTCATGGGCTAATTTTTGATGTCATTGATGTCTAAGTCTAAGTGATGTTATAACTCTGTTTTTGTTCATGATGTGTTTTTAAAATCCTTCATTATAACTGATTGCTGTTGGATCTCTTGCTGTAGTTTCACAGTGGTAGTAATGTAAAGTTTAAGTGTTAATAATGTAACACTTTTGATAAAGGATTGAACACTGGATAAGATCAAGAGACTCATCCAAAGTTCTTGTTTTCTTGTAATTTTATATTTTTTATGTAAATAAGTATGGCAGCCTGGGGATAGTTTTTATCACAACAAATAACTATCAGCATTCACTGATCACATTTCCTCTCTTTTCTGCCATAAATGTTTTTTAAACACAGTTAAAGCAGCTGGAGAAAAAAATTATGTTAAAAAGTCAAGGGTCATGAGCTGAACTAAAAAAATTTAAATTAAACATAAATATTTAAACCTCTGCTTTTTCTCAATAATAGCTTCTGACGTAAAACAGAAATACAGTAAAACTGGATAGTAATAAATGTAATGATGTGTAATGGCTGGAAGTCAGTATTAGTTCTTGTGTTTCTGCTTGTCTCTTCTCTTTTTCTGTTCTTGTTGTTTCTCTTTCCTTCAGTGATTCTGCTTGTTAACAGCACTTAATTCTCTCATTAACTCATTAATGTTCTGTGGGGATTGAAAGGGTTTCTGTTGTCTGAGTTTTGTGGGTCATTGTGCTGAAGAGTAGAGCCTGTGCTTCAGTCCTGCAGAAGATCATGAAACACTGATGATATTCTGCATGTTGCTTTATTTAAAACCAGTAACTGTAGTTGCTGATGCAGTGAAAAGCTGTTGGCTAATTACAGTCATGGTCAGAATTGATGGCACCCCTGGTAAATATGATCAAAACGGGCTGTAAAAAATAAATCTGCATTGTTTATCCTTTTGATCTTTCATTAAAAAAATTGGCAAAATTCTAACCTTTCATTGAAGTAAAAGAATTGAAAGTGGGGGGGAAATCACATTATGAAATAAATGTTTTTCTCCAAAACACGTTGGCCACAATTATTGGCACCCTTTTATTAAATACTTTTTGCAATCTCCTTTTGACAAGATACCAGCTCTGAGTCTTCTCCTATAATGCCTGATGAGTTTGGAGAACAACTGACCTGAGATCAGAGACCATTCCTCCATACAGAATCTCTCCAGATCCTGCAGATTCCCAGATCCATGTTTGTGCTTCTTCTCTTCAGTTCTGCACTCATCAGGTCAGGGAACTGGGACGGTCATGGCAGAAGCTCCATTTTGTGCTTCGTAACAAATTTTTGTGTTGATTTTGATGTTTGTTTTGGATGGTTGTCCTGATGGAAGATCCAACCACGGACCGTTATAAGATTTCTAGCAGAAGGCGTCAGGTTTTAATTTTTTATCTGTTGATATTTGATAGAATCCACGATGCCATGTATCTGAACAAGAAGTCCAGGACCTCCAGCAGAAAAATAGGCCCACAACATTAAAGATCCAGTAGTATATTTAACCGTAGGCATGGGGTACTTGTTATCCTTGTTTGCACCAAACACATCTGGTGGGTTTGCTGCCAAAAAGCTTTTTTTAAAGTTTCATCTGACCATAGAATCAGGTCCCAGAAGATCCAGTCGTGTCTGACAACTGAATATGCTGGAGTTTGCTTTTGGACGAGCGAGGAGGATTCTTCTTGAAACCCTCCCAAACAACATGTCTTGATGTAGGGGTTGTTTGATTTTTTTGTGGCTTTCTGACCCCCAAGACTCAACTAATCTCTGCAATTCTCCATCTGTGATCCTTGAAGAGTCTTTGGCCACTCAAACTTTCCTCCTCACCGTCCATTAAGGCAATATAGACACACGTCCTCTTCCTGGCAGATTCCTAACATCTTTAGTTGATTTGAACTTCTTAATTATTGCCCTGATGGTCAAAATGGGGATTTTCAATTCTTTAGCTATTTTCTTACAGCCACTTTCTATTTTGTAATGGTCAACAATTTTTTAATGGACATCAGAACTATATTCTTTGGTTTTACTCATTGTGATGGATGATTAAGGGGATTTGGCATTTGTGTTTCCTCAAATTCAAACTCCTGTGAAACACGAAGTCATGGCTGGACAATTTCATGTTCCTAGTCACCCTGGTGTGCTAAAAAAGGTAAATATTAATGGGAATATACTTCAGAGATATTTTACTGGTAAAAAAAATGTAGGGGTGCCAATAATTGTGGCCAACGTGTTTTGGAGAAAAACATTTATTTCATAATGTAATTTCCCCCCACTTTCAATTCTTTTACTTCAATGAAAGGTTAGAATTTTGCTGTTTTTTTTAATGAAAAATCAAAAGGATAAACAATGCAGATTTATTTTTTACAGCCAGTTTTGGTCATATTTACCAGGGGTGCCATTAATTCTGACCATGACTGTATATTAGCTCATGCTGTTGTTAGCAGTTATCTGAAAGAGATTAGAGTTAAATGGATGTTTCTTGTTTTTGTTTAATTTGGTTCACTTTACTTAAAAAAAAAAAAAAAAGTTAACATGCTCACATAACTAGCACACTAGATAATGGATTTCCCTTTGTTGATAATTTTGATTCTTTTTGGGGAAAATATGAACTTTTTAGTCTTGATAGGTGTCATCCAAAATGAAAAAGGGGCACACCTACTGTCTTCTCATATTGACTTCCTTTTGAACACTATCGGATGAAGGGACATTGCTAGGACATCTAAATCAAAGGTGGATATTGACAATATTATCTATTCATTAATTTTACACTAATGGTTAGATGTGGTATACAATTGCTAACACCTCTAATCCTGGGCAAGTAATCCCTACTGTAATTTCAAAGTGCTTTTTTCATAGATCTACAGATACTGTTGGGTTTTCTAGTTATGTTAGGCATAATAATCTATTAACCTAGTTATCAATGTAAGCACTTGTAATCTAGCTCCTTTGCAAATATCATATTGTCCCTCTGACTTAAAAACAAGACAAGGGCTTGGGTTAATGCACATTAACGTTCAAAGCATTATCCCTAAACTTGACAGACTAATTTCCAAACCTGACATTTTAGTGTGCTCTGAAACTTGGCTCAAATCCTCTGATGGTGATGATGTTATTGTAATTAATGATTATAATGTCTTTAGATGTGATTGAGGCGGGTTGAGGGTTGAGGCGTCTGTATGTACTGTACATAAGGATTTTAAGGCCACACAATCTTTTAGTATCTCTGTTCCTAAACAATATGAGCTTCTTGTTATTAATGTAGAAATCTTTCGTAATGTGTTTGTCTCTGTTGTTGGAGTTTATCGCATGATCTTTATTGTTCTGATGTACCAAGTGTTTTTAATATTTCAGATGTGGAATTGGCTTTTAAAACATTTACAAGTATTTTTAATTTAGTGGCGGATAAATATACCATAGATAAACCCATGGTTCACTACAAAACTTTCAGAATTATTTCCGTTAAGAAATAAAGCCTGGTCTAAAACCAGACATACTGGACTGGGTGGGGACTGGCTGACATTTAAACAACAGTCAAGGTGATCCGACTAAATTCTGGAAAGCCATAAAATACCTAAAACGAAGTTGCCATTCCTCTCTGATTATATTTCATTCTAAAACTGTAAATGACAAAATTGAAATTTGTGACGCGTTCAATCAACATTTGTTTACAGCTGGTAATTTGTTTGAGGGTGAAAATTGTAATGATGTGGTGCTCCCAGAAAGGACTGATTGTGAAGCTAGTAGCACCTAAGAGAAATAGCTCTGGATGAAGTTGTGAACTCCTCTTTCTCATTTCAGTGGGTTACCTCTGAGGAAGTTCTTAAAGCTCTTTTAAAGCCCCAGTAGGGAGTTTTGAGAAAAACGTTGACTTAGCTTGAAAATTTGAAAAAGCACAACTTACAGGTCCCACCCCCTTGCTCTCTGCTGCACTACAGCCCTCCCTCCACAGCTCGTCCTCCACAGCGGAGCCCGTCGTGAACGCGCAGGCTAGTAAACAGGGCCACCGATGACGGCGGATAAAAAGTTATATGGCACATTCACTAATAGGGACTAAACGTCAACAATATGCCTTACATTGACTACGGCCTGCCCATACTTTGACTACAAACTTGGTCCTCAAATCATTATGTATTTTGCAGTAGCCTACATGTAACTTTATAACGTTGCACTCTTTCTATAAGTTATAAATAGCTAGTAAGATAACGTTAATATAACGGTAACTAACGTTACAGTATGTAAGTAATTATTCTAGCGATATATAATGCTAGATAAGGTGTGCTAGTACATTATTTCAGCAACATGACAAGCCAGTGAGTTAGCAGGTTTCAATTGTTGCTTAGCAGAGTGCGTGACATTTTATCTACATGTTATGCGGCTAGAGTTTTGACACCGAGTCAATGGGCTCTGTGTAATTCTTTCTTTTTCGCTTATTTATCGTCACCAGTCTTTTTCCTTTTACCTCTTTGTTTTATGAGCAGGTGTCACTCGAGAATTGGCCGTTTAGGTTGTTTCTCCGTCATAAGCACAGCTGCGGCACGCCGGCAATCTTGAGTTTGAACGACGGCTCGCGCTGTGCAAGAGAGGGGTGTGATCAGCGCGTAAACGAGCGTGATTGACACTGCTAAGACATTCCTCCTGGCTCTGATTGGTTGTTTCTGACCGGGTGCGTGTGTTTCTTGCAAATGGCAATAGGACCACTAGGAGGAGCCAGAGGAGCTTGATTTTTACACAGATTATTTGTCTCATATTCTACTGTCAGGACATAATGACAGTCTTAGCAAATACATTTTTTCAAAAGTTACCTACAGCAGCTTTAACTATTGATATGAAATATGCTACTGGGGCAGATGATCTTAAAGGTGCAATGTGTAAACATTTTGAGTATCTATTAACATAACTATGTTTTCGGTGGTGTATAAAGAACTTACTTATTCTAAGGTAATAAAAACATTACGGTTTATTGAGACATTTATATCTACATAACCGCGGGCACCCCCTTCTATGAAGGTCGACATATTGTGACGTCATGTTTCTACCGTAGCCGAACGCGAACAAACAGCGCTACAGAGCGCGTTTCGTCACTACCTTGAAAGAGAAGCAGCAGAAAGCTAGAAGCTAGCCATAGACACCGTGAGTAGTGACTTTTCCCTTGTCAGTGGTGTAAAATATGTAGTTGGATTGTTTCATGTAACTTAGTTCTTCTCCCTCGCTGTGTTATGGCTTTGCTATGTTGGGAAAAATGAGCTGGTTACGTTCGTGAGACAGCTGATTAGTACTCTTGACCGTAAAACAGTATGTTACAGGAATCACCAATCCGTCGATCGCGGTCGACAAGTCGATTTTGGAAGCATTTTAAGTCGATCGCGAAGAGTTTTCAAAATCAGAGAAAAAAGCCTATTGTGTGTAGTAAATGGTGTCTAGTGGATGCGGAGGCGCGCGCTGTTACAATCATGTCATTTTTGCCATTTTGGGTCAAACAACGGTCTTTCAAATCGGCTTTTGCCGCGACTCCGGAAGACTTGGAGTTCAGCTTTTCTTTGAGAAAAGATCAAAGAACGGTGTTGTGCCGAATTTCGACCCCCTGCCAAATTATTACCCCCCTCGTTGAAGTCAGTACCTGATTGCCTAATCCCAACCCCGCCCCTAATCCTAACCCCTCCCCCACAACTAATCCTAAACCTACCAATGGTAATAATTTGGCGGGGGTCGAAATTCGGCACAACAACGGCACTGAAGTCCTTCGCTCTGACTACGTCACCTTCTTCGTTGCTCTGGTTGGTTGTAGCGTTATCCTATTGCGTTCAGTGGAAATTTGAAAGACAACCGTTTATCCCGCCCCTCGGATTGAGCCGTGCCAATGGTGTGTTCCCAACATCTTGATGTGGGTCTGGCTTGTCAGGCTAGTTTCATCCTCCTCTGCTGAGATCAAATAACTAAAATTTTCAAGTTGATAAGTATATACAGCTTAACTGGTCCATGTAAAAAGATAACCCAAAAAGTTAAGTAAAGTGTTGACTGTTGACAGTGCAGTGCTTGTAAGACAGGTATTGGCTCTCACGCATCATGTTCCCTGATGTGAAGTACTGAGGAAAATGTCTTTGCCCCAAACACTATGGAAGGAGATGTATTTATATAAGCTACAGTATAGTATATTAATGCTGTTTTCTCTTGTCTTTATTCTGAATTTTCTTCAGCACACGATCAACTACAGGATGAGCACAGGAAAATACAACATGGTAAATCTGTCTTTATTGAATCGTTTAATTCAGTATAAATGTTGTCTTTTTTTTATGCACAGAATATTTAATTAACAGAGATTATGTATTCACATACTTGTATATCTCCTGTAATTTGTAGTTTTTGTTCTTCAATCAGAAATGATATGTTATCAATGCTAATGTTGTCTGAATTATGTTTTCTCTTGTCTTTATCCTGAATTTTCTTCAGCACACGATCAACTACAGGATAAGCACAGGAAAATACAACATGGTAAATCTGTCTTTATTGAATCGTTTAATTCAGTATAAATGTTGTCTTTTTTTTATCCACAGAATATTTAATTAACAGAGATTATGTATTCACATACTTGTATATCTCCTGTAATTTGTAGTTTTTGTTCTTCAATCAGAAATGATATGTTATCAATGCTAATGTTGTCTGAATTATGTTTTCTCTTGTCTTTATCCTGAATTTTCTTCAGCACACGATCAACTACAGGATGAGAAGAGCACAATACAACATGGTAAATCTGTCTTTATTGAATCGTTTAATTCAGTATAAATGTTGTCTTTTTTTTATCCACAGAATATTTAATTAACAGAGATTATGTATTCACATACTTGTATATCTCCTGTAATTTGTAGTTTTTGTTCTTCAATCAGAAATGATATGTTATTAATGCTAATGTTGTCTGAATTATGTTTTCTCTTGTCTTTATCCTGAATTTTCTTCAGCACACGATCAACTACAGGATGAGAAGAGCACAATACAACATGGTAAATCCTCTTTATTAAGTTATTGATTAATTGTTCATTTAAAGTCTGATTTCAGCCATGAAATATCTACTTAACAGACTGTTTGTATTCATTTAGTTTTGTGTCTTGGTTCCTATAAATGGTTATATTATATATATTATGTATAATTTATTCAGTCACAGATGTACTTGTGTGATGTTAACACACACTATAAACACAACTAATGATTGTAACTTGTTTGTAATTTCAATGTCAAGTCACCTTTATTTGTATAGCGCTGTATATTATACAGATTGTTTCAAAGCAGCTTTACAGTGATAACAGGAAAATAATGCAACAAGTTTGATTCTGCTGTACAGAAGATCTGTAATGTTATTTTATCGTCTATTTCTGAATTTTCTTTAGAACGTGATCAACTTTTACACAGTCAGAAGATTATTCTACCAAAAGGTGAATTTGTTTATATGCCTTTATTAAACTATTAATTACTTTTGAATTATTTTGCAAAACAATGAATTCATACACTGTGTATTTATATATGTCTGTAATTCATTATATTTTATTATAGGATATGCAGTATAAACTGTGTAAAGTTTTCTTGGATTTTGTTGCTCTTCAAGCAGTGATTAAAATGATTGATCTCATTATTGATCTAAATATGAATTCTGTTATGAACCCATTATAACTCCATACTTTCTGTTTCATACTTAGCTCTCCCACATTTAAGAACACACACAGGTGAGTAAAATCTAAGTATTTAGTATTTATTTTAATTTCCCAAATTCATTATCATGTCAAACATTTATAAATGTATGTATTGTTTTTGAGTTTTTGGTATAATGCACTGTAACAATGACATCTTAAAATAAAGTGTAACCGAATTTTGTATTGCACATAACTGGATCCCTAGCAACTATTCAGAGCACCCTAGCAACAAGTTCCATAGACTTCCATTCAAAGAGATCAAATGGTATATCTTGGGATAGAAGTGTGATATAGAAACATGAGGGTGGGCAGCAAACAGCCAATCACGAATCACCTTCAACACTTCCTAGCCCTGCCATAACAACCATGGTCAAGAACCCTAGCAACCCAAACCCAAAGAGAGATATCTTCAAATCTGAATGTCATAAAGGGATTGCGCTTGGTTTATATCATTCATTCTGACACGCAGTCGTTGGAGTTTCATCGTCACTGGCAACTGCCAAGCCACTACCTAGCAACCAAACAGAGTACCCTAGCAACCGTTTAGCACAGGGGTGTCCAGTCCTGCGGAGTTCAGCTCCAGCCCCAAATAAACACACCTGAAACAGATAATCAAGGTCTTAGACATACAAACTTTCAGGCCAGCGTGTTGAGGAACGTTAAAGCTAAACAGAATCTGCTGGACCGAGGACGCCCCTGATTTAACAAGACCTGTATCTCTGCATCAGGAGACCCTATTCACCTTATTTTGCAACGCAGAAGTAAATACGATGACGCACTTCCTTCTAGTGTGTAAGATCTCCGTTTCACTAGCCGTAGGTAAAGCCATGTCGTGTGAGCACGTACAAAACACTGTTAAACATGATGGTTCATATTTATCACTCCCGCGGTGTATAACACAGTGGGGGATGAAATGAAGAAGTGGCCTGATATCTTATGTGAACATATTCCATTATTGTGTGTTATATATGTGCGTTTTAGCAGCTTGTTTAACAAATGCCATCTCTGCATATGCTGTGAGTTTGGGTTACTTATGACGTTCATGAACGCCATTTCACCAGATTTGTAACGTAAATCCTCTAACCTACGCCAACAGGAGAATACATCAATGTGTTTCTAAATTGGCAAACTGTTCATTCATGGTGACTTCAAAACAAAAGTTTAAACCCTCATTAGTTTGCGTGTTTTGATGTCCACATGTTATTGTTCCAGAAATTACAGTGACTGTAACATTTCTATCGTAAAGAAGTGGCCAAATATTAAAGGGAGGATCATCCGTGGGTCTGCCATTAACGAAGTGGAAAGAGCAAAAGTGTGGAAATTTTTGCGGTTCCTCACAAATGTGTCGCTCAAACACACACAAGAGAAATACATAAACTACTGCTGCGTCCGGAACCTTATTAACATCATTAAACATGCACTGCATCGTGTCACACGTTAAACATGTGCGTGCAAAGAACTCAAAATGGTGATTGAACGGTTAATGCATCAGACACACTGTTAACTATTTGACTAAAACGTAAAAATAACAAGCAACTGGCATTGCCAGCGTGTTCACACATTACAATAATGCTTTAAACCAAAGCCGACGAGTGTGCAGATCATAGTCCTCACATCCACATTCAGTTCTGCTGTGTGGATTACGGTCAAAACTAATATCTTGCAGGTGTTTGTTATGCTTGAAGCAGCTGTTAGAAATAAATAAAGAATAATTAGAAAAAAAGAATAGTTAGAAAGAAATAATGAAAGAAAGAATAGTTAGAATGAAAGGAAGATAGAATAGTTAGAAAGAAAGAAAGAATAGTTAGAAAGAAAGAGAGAGAGAAAGACAGAAAGAAAGAAAAAAGAAAGGATGAAAGAAAGAAAGAATAGTTAGAAAGAAAAAAGAAAGAATGAATAGTTAGTTAGAAAGAAAGAAAGAAAGAAAGAAAGGAAGAAAGAAAGAATAGTTAGAAAGAAAGATATTAGTTAGAAAGAAAGAAAGGAAGATAGAAAGAATAGTTAGAAAGAAAGAAAAAAGAAAGATTAGGATGAAAAATAATGAATAGTTAGAAAGAAAGAAAGAAAGAAAGAAAGAAAGAAAGAAAGAAAGAAAGAAAGAAAGAAAGAAAGAAAGAAAGAAAGAAAGAAAGATAGAATAGTTAGAAAGAAAGAGAGAGAAATAAAGAAAAAGAAAGGATGAAAGAAAGAAAGAATAGTTAGAAATAAAGAAAGGAAGAAAGAAAGAATAGTTAGAAAGAGATTAGTTAGAAAGAAAGGAAGTAAGAAAGAAAGAAAGGAAGAAAGAAAGAATAGTTAGAAAGAAAGAGATTAGTTAGAAAGAAAGAAAAAAGAAAGATTAGGATAAAAGAAAGAATGAATAGTTTGAAAGAAATGAAGAAAGAATAGTTAGTTAGGAAGAAAGAATAGTTAGAAAGAAAGAAAGAATAGTTAGAAAGAAAGAGATTAGTTAGAAAGAAAGAAAAAAGAAAGATTAGGATAAAAGAAAGAATGAATAGTTAGAAAGAAAGGAAGAAAGAATAGTTAGTTAGAAAGAAAGAATAGTTAGAAAGAAAGAAAGAATAGTTAGAAAGAAAAAAGAAAGAATAGTTAGAAAGAAAGAAAGAATAGTTAGAAAGAAAGAGAGAGAGAGAGAGAGAGAGAAATATTAGTTAGAAAGAAAGAAAGAAAGAAAGAAAGGAAGGAAGAAAGGAAGAAAGAATAGTTAGAAAGAAAGAAAGGAAGAAAGAATAGTTAGTTAGAAAGAAAGAATAGTTAGAAAGAAAGAAAGAATAGTTAGAAAGAAAGAAAGAATAGTTAGAAAGAAAAAAGAAAGAATAGTTAGAAAGAAAGAAAGAATATTGAGAAAGAAATAAAAAAAAGATAAGGATCAAAGAAACAATAAACAAAGAAAGATTAGGATGAAAGAAAGAAAGAATAGTTAGAAAGAAAAAAGAAAAAACTGAAAGAATAGTTAGAAAGAAAGAAAGAATAGTTAGAAATAAAGAGAGAGAGAAAGAAAGATTAGTTAGAAAGAAAGAAAGAAAGAAAGAAAGAAAGGAAGAAAGGAAGGAAGAAAGAATAGTTAGAAAGAAAGGAAGGAAGAAAGAATAGTTAGAAAGAAAGAAAGGAAGAAAGAATAGTTAGAAAGAAAGAAAGAAAGAATAGTTAGAAATAAAGAGAGAGAGAGAGAGAGAGAGAGAGAAAGATTAGTTAGAAAGAAAGAAAGAAAGAAAGGAAGGAAGGAAGAAAGAAAGAATAGTTAGAAAGAAAGAAAGGAAGACAAAATAGTTAGAAAGAAATAAAAAATAAAGATAAGGATCAAAGAAAGAATGAAAAAAGAAAGAATGAAAGAATAGTTAGAAATAAAGAAATATTCGTTAGAAAGAAAAAAGAAAGAAAGATTAGTTAGAAATAAAGAGAGAGAGAGAGAGAGAGAGAGAGAGAGAGAGAGAGAGAGAGAGAGAGAGAGAGAGAGAGAGAGAGAGAGAGAGGAAGAAAGAATAGTTAGAAAGAAAAAAGAAAGAAAGATTAGTTTTAAAAAAGATAGAGAAAAATAAAAGAAAAAGAAAGAAAAAGAAAAAAGGAAAGATTAGTGAGAAAGAGAGAAAGAAAAGAAGATTAGTTAGAAAGAAAGAAAGAAAGAATGAATAGTTAGAATGAAAAAAGAAAGAAAGATTATGTAGAAAGATAGATTAGTTAGAAAGAAAAAAGAAAGAAAGATTAGGATAAAAGAAAGAACGAATAGTTAGAAAGAAAGAATAGTTAGAAAGAAAGAAAGAATAGTTAGAAAGAAAGGAAGAAAGAATAGTTAGAAAGAAAGAATAGTTAGAAAGAAAGAGAGAAAGAAAGAAAAAAGAAAGGATGAAAGAAAGAATAGTTAGAAAGAAAGGAAGAAAGAATAGTTAGAAAGAAAGAATAGTTAGAAAGAAAGAGAGAAAGAAAGAAAAAAGAAAGGATGAAAGAAAGAAAGAATAGTTAGAAAGAAAGGAAGAAAGAATAGTTAGAAAGAAAGAATAGTTAGAAAGAAAGAGAGAAAGAAAGAAAAAAGAAAGGATGAAAGAAAGAAAGAATAGTTAGAAAGAAAGGAAGAAAGAATAGTTAGAAAGAAAGAATAGTTAGAAAGAAAGAGAGAAAGAAAGAAAAAAGAAAGGATGAAAGAAAGAATAGTTAGAAAGAAAGGAAGAAAGAATAGTTAGAAAGAAAGAATAGTTAGAAAGAAAGAATAGTGAGAAAGAAAGAATAGTGAGAAAGAAAAAAGAAAGAATGAAAGAAAGAAAGAATAGTTAGAAAGAAAGGAAGAAAGAAAGAATAGTTAGAAAGAAAGAGATTAGTTAGAAAGAAAGAATAGTTAGAAAGAAAGAATAGTTAGAAAGAAAGAGATTAGTAAGAAAGAAAGAGATTAGTTAGAAAGAGAGAGAGAGAGAGAGAGAGAGAGAGAGAGAGAGAGAGAGAGAGAGAGAGAGAGAGAGAGAAAATAGAAAGAAAGGAAGAAAGAAAGAATAGTTAGAAAGAAAGAGATTAGTTAGAAAGAAAGAGATTAGTTAGAAAGAAAGAGATTAGTTAGAGAGAGAGAGAGAGAGAGAGAGAGAGAGAGAGAGAGAGAGAGAGAGAGAGAGAGAGAGAGAGAGAGAGAGAGAGAGAGAGAGAGAGAGAGAGAGAGAGAGAGAGAGAGAGAGAGAAAAGAAAGAAAGGAAGAAAGAAAGAATAGTTAGAAAGAAAAAAGAAAGAATGAAGAAATAGTTAGAATGAAAAAAGAAAGATTAGGATAAAAGAAAGAATGAATAGTTAGAAAGAAAGGAAGAAAGAATAGTTAGTTAGAAAGAAAGAATAGTTAGAAAGAAAGAAAGAATAGTTAGAAAGAAAAAAGAAAGAATAGTTAGAAAGAAAGAAAGAATAGTTAGAAAGAAAGAGAGAGAGAGAGAGAGAAATATTAGTTAGAAAGAAAGAAAGAAAGAAAGAAAGAAAGAAAGGAAGGAAGAAAGGAAGAAAGAATAGTTAGAAAGAAAGAAAGGAAGAAAGAATAGTTAGTTAGAAAGAAAGAATAGTTAGAAAGAAAGAAAGAATAGTTAGAAAGAAAGAAAGAATAGTTAGAAAGAAAAAAGAAAGAATAGTTAGAAAGAAAGAAAGAATATTTAGAAAGAAATAAAAAAAAGATAAGGATCAAAGAAACAATAAACAAAGAAAGATTAGGATGAAAGAAAGAAAGAATAGTTAGAAAGAAAAAAGAAAAAACTGAAAGAATAGTTAGAAAGAAAGAAAGAATAGTTAGAAATAAAGAGAGAGAGAAAGAAAGATTAGTTAGAAAGAAAGAAAGAAAGAAAGAAAGAAAGAAAGAAAGAAAGAAAGAAAGAAAGAAAGAAAGAAAGAAAGAAAGAAAGGAAGGAAGAAAGAATAGTTAGAAAGAAAGGAAGGAAGAAAGAATAGTTAGAAAGAAAGAAAGGAAGAAAGAATAGTTAGAAAGAAAGAAAGAATAGTTAGAAATAAAGAGAGAGAGAGAGAGAGAGAGAGAGAGAGAGAGAAAGATTAGTTAGAAAGAAAGAAAGAAAGAAAGGAAGGAAGGAAGAAAGAAAGAATAGTTAGAAAGAAAGAAAGGAAGACAAAATAGTTAGAAAGAAATAAAAAATAAAGATAAGGATCAAAGAAAGAATGAAAAAAGAAAGAATGAAAGAATAGTTAGAAATAAAGAAATATTCGTTAGAAAGAAAAAAGAAAGAAAGATTAGTTAGAAATAAAGAGAGAGAGAGAGAGAGAGAGAGAGAGAGAGAGAGAGAGAGAGAGAGAGAGAGAGAGAGAGAGAGAGAGAGAGAGAGAGAGAGAGGAAGAAAGAATAGTTAGAAAGAAAAAAGAAAGAAAGATTAGTTTTAAAAAAGATAGAGAAAAATAAAAGAAAAAGAAAGAAAAAGAAAAAAGGAAAGATTAGTGAGAAAGAGAGAAAGAAAAGAAGATTAGTTAGAAAGAAAGAAAGAAAGAATGAATAGTTAGAATGAAAAAAGAAAGAAAGATTATGTAGAAAGATAGATTAGTTAGAAAGAAAAAAGAAAGAAAGATTAGGATAAAAGAAAGAACGAATAGTTAGAAAGAAAGAATAGTTAGAAAGAAAGAAAGAATAGTTAGAAAGAAAGGAAGAAAGAATAGTTAGAAAGAAAGAATAGTTAGAAAGAAAGGAAGAAAGAATAGTTAGAAAGAAAGAATAGTTAGAAAGAAAGAGAGAAAGAAAGAAAAAGAAAGGATGAAAGAAAGAAAGAATAGTTAGAAAGAAAGGAAGAAAGAATAGTTAGAAAGAAAGAATAGTTAGAAAGAAAGAGAGAAAGAAAGAAAAAAGAAAGGATGAAAGAAAGAATAGTTAGAAAGAAAGGAAGAAAGAATAGTTAGAAAGAAAGAATAGTTAGAAAGAAAGAATAGTGAGAAAGAAAGAATAGTGAGAAAGAAAAAAGAAAGAATGAAAGAAAGAAAGAATAGTTAGAAAGAAAGGAAGAAAGAAAGAATAGTTAGAAAGAAAGAGATTAGTTAGAAAGAAAGAATAGTTAGAAAGAAAGAATAGTTAGAAAGAAAGAGGTTAGTTAGAAAGAAAGAGATTAGTTAGAAAGAGAGAGAGAGAGAGAGAGAGAGAGAGAGAGAGAGAGAGAGAGAGAGAGAGAGAGAGAGAGAGAGAGAGAAAATAGAAAGAAAGGAAGAAAGAAAGAATAGTTAGAAAGAAAGAGATTAGTTAGAAAGAAAGAGATTAGTTAGAAAGAAAGAGATTAGTTAGAGAGAGAGAGAGAGAGAGAGAGAGAGAGAGAGAGAGAGAGAGAGAGAGAGAGAGAAAAGAAAGAAAGGAAGAAAGAAAGAATAGTTAGAAAGAAAAAAGAAAGAATGAAGAAATAGTTAGAATGAAAAAAGAAAAAGATTAGTTTTAAAAAAAGAAAGAAAAAGAAAGAAAGATTATGTAGAAAGATAGATTAGTTAGAATAAAAAAGAAAGAAAGATTAGTTTGGTTTTCTCAAGTCAACTTCAAAGTTTGCAAGTTTACAATTAATGCAGTATTTTGTATTATTTTTATTATCTTGTTCTAAAGTTTCCCTGATTCTTATGAAAATGAATAATTGTCTGTATGTTGTCATATGCTCGTCTGTAAAGCAGTATTTCTATATTTTCTGCAGTGAAAGTGACTCTGGATGCTGATTCAGCTCATCCACGTCTCGTCGTGTCTGATGATGGGAAACAAGTGAGAGATGGAAACAGCCGGAACGCAGGAAAACACAGGTTTGATAATTATCTTGGTGTTCTCGGGAAGGACGGATTCTCCTCAGGGAGTTTTTACTTTGAGGTGCAGGTGAAGGATCAAACTTGGTGGGATTTAGGAGTGGCCAGAGAATCTGTTAACAGGAAGAGCTTGATCTATCTGAGGCCTGATGTTGGATACTGGACTGTGAGTCGGAGATATGAGGAGTATTCGGCTCGTGATTCTCCACTCGTCCGTCTGTCTCTGAGAGTGAAGCCACAGAGGATCGGTGTGTTTGTGGATTATGAGAAGGGTCTCGTCTCCTTTTATGATGTGGAGTCCATGTCTCATATCCACTCTTACACCAGTCAGTCTTTTAATGAGAAACTCTTTCCATTTGTTGGTTTGGGGTATAGTTGGAATGATAACTCGACACCACTGATTATCTGTGATGATTATTAATGACGTCAGTGAATGAATTTACATGATCAAGTGAAATAGAAGGAAAAACAATACAATAAGTGTAACAGCCACAAATATGAAGTATTAATCACAAATGTGGTCACAGAAGTGTGTGTGAGTCGTTCACCTGATCCCTGTTCCCCGTCAGCTCCTCCTCATCTCCACTAGATAGTGAATGAAAGTCATCATGAAGTGCTGATCACAGGAACTGTTCCTCCCTCAATAGTGTTTGTTGATGAATGTCCAGATTGAGGAAAGCTGGAATCAAACAAGCTCAAATATTAGACATATTCATGTGTGTAACGTTTTCATCACTACATCATTCCCACAATGCCATGCGTGTTATTCAGATTTCATGACTTATATGTGGATCGTGTAAAGAATTAGCCGTGTCCAAACTTCTGATCATAACTTATTAGATTTTGGACACAGATGAATAGATGAGTTTAACTTTATTCATATATTCTTAAGTGCTCATTTGTATTCTTCATTTTCATTCTTTTATTATTAGGATGGATATCGTTCCCCCAAAAAGAAAATGTTCATGTCTTTCTAACCCTGTTTTTATTATTCTATTAAACACAATATTGAGATGTTATGAGTCTGAGCCATTGCGTGAGCTTATAATTATACGGTTCTATCTCCACTTTTGGTCGAAATTGAGTTTTTGTCATAATCTGATCCATTAGGTGTTTATTAATGCCTGTGTGGTGTTATTTTTGTAAAAAAAAAAATATATATTTTGTTAGTAGTTATTAATAAAATAAAAAGGTTCCATCTCACAAAACATAAACCGAGTTGGGATTATAAGGTTCTATCTCCAGTAGATTCAATATCCAATCAAAACTCTGAATGAACACGGACGGACCAATCAAAACCCACCTCTTTGCTCTGTAGCCTGGACACAGAGCTAAGGGCTGGACATTAGCCTGGACACAGAGCTAAGGGCTGGACATTAGCCTGGACACAGAGCTAAGGGCTGGACATTAGCCTGGACACAGAGCTCAGGGCTGGACATTAAGCCTGGACACAGAGCTAAGGGCTGGACATTAAGCCTGGACACAGAGCTAAGGGCTGGACATTAGCCTGGACACAGAGCTAAGGGCTGGACATTAGCCTGGACACAGAGCTAAGGGCTGGACATTAGCCTGGACACAGAGCTCAGGGCTGGACATTAGCCTGAACACAGAGCTCAGGGCTGGAGATTAGCCTGGACACAGAGCTCAGGGCTGGACATTAGCCTGGACACAGAGCTCAGGGCTGGACATTAGCCTGGACACAGAGCTCAGGGCTGGACATTAGCCTGGACACAGAGCTCAGGGCTGGACATTAGCCTGGACACAGAGCTCAGGGCTGGACATTAGCCTGGACACAGAGCTCAGGGCTGGACATTAGCCTGGACACAGAGCTCAGGGCTGGACATTAGCCTGGACACAGAGCTCAGGGCTGGACATTAGCCTGGACATTTGAAGCGATGGAATGAGAATGGCTGAGATTCAGTGCCATACTAAAGGCACATGTTACTAAAGATTTAAAGAACTCTATAAAAACTCCATAGTAACCATCTGTGACAACTACCAACCACCTAGTAACCCCATAGCAACCATCAAATATACCATAGCAACCGCCCTGGACACCCTAGCAACCGCCTAGAAACACCCTAGCAACCACCCAAAACTCCTTAGCAACTGCCTAGTAACCACCCAGAACACACTGGCACCCACCCACAATACCTTAGCAACTGCCTAGCAACCACCCAGAATACCTTAGCAACTGCCTACCAACACCATAGCAACAACCCAGAACACCCTAGCAACTACCTAGGAACACCTTAGAAACCATCCAGAATACCCTAGCAACACCATAGCAACCACCCTGAACACCATAGCAACCGCCTAGCAACCACCCAAACACCCTAGCAACCACCTGAACACATGAATAAGACATATCTCAGCACCAGAACATCGTACAGACATGGTTGTTGGCTCGTATGCAATAATGTACCACACTCTAGCAACTGAGCGGTGAGTTTTGCCACTGCAAGCACCACTTCACATTTTCTTCTGGAAATGTACATTCTAGCCGGCGATGGCGCCCAAAAGACGTAAATGTACAGACGCCAGCACTAGAAGAGATCGGTAGTTGAAGCACATATCATTAGCTAGCTAATGTACACCAGCTTGTTTGCCAAGGTAGTTTAGCATTAGCGAACATTAGCATTAGCTTGCTAGCGAACGTTAGCATTAGCTTACTAGCTCAGCAACAGCTCGCTTACAGTTTTGCACCTGTAAATCTATGTATGTGACAAATAAACATCCTTGTATCCTTGTAGATGGGCAACTGCAGCTTAGCTAACATAACACCAATTTCTAACTTACTCCCCATCCATAAATGCACGCTAACTAGCTTTTTAAGCTTGCTAGATTATTGGTGTCTTGATAAAAGTTGCCCCATTTATATCACGATAATACATTTTTTTTAAGAAAAAACTTTTTGTTTAGCTGTAATTTTTCCATGTCCATGTTCTTTGAAAATAAAAATAAGCTTTTTCTTCTTACAAACTTGCTTGGCTTTGATGTATACTATACTATATATTATATACTACAAGCTGTGTGCATGTATTATAAATATATAAATTGATTAAAATCAATGGTTATATACATTTATTCTTTGAAATGTGAGGTTTTATTTGTAAAAGTGAAGATAGAGAATCAGAGCTCTCAGAATTACAAGGTTCTGTCTCCATTTGGGCCATCTTAAAAAATCCCATTTCCAAATGTGCCAGGATTTCTCAGAACTACCCTAAACGGAGATAGAATTGTATAATTCTAAGCTCACATTTGCTTGATTTTTACAAATGAGTATCATATAGTGTGTGTTCAGAGTTAACGGCTGTAGTGGACGGATATCACAGGATTCACACTCATGTTCAGTGTTGATGATGCAATTTAAGTTCTGTTGCTTTTATATGAAAATAAATATAATGAACAAGACACCCACAAGTACTGTTATTTATTTCCATTCGAACAACCTGTTTATAAATCACTTTTACTTTAATTACAGACATGTTTTTATATATTTTTTTATTAATATGACAACAATCAAATAGCATTTTTTACCTCATAGATATTACATTTGGAACAATTGCAATATATATATATATATATTTTTTTTTTAAATCCTTATTTTTTTGAAAGATGGTTTCGCCAGGTTTAATACGAGTAGATCAATTACTAAATCAAGAAGGACTTTTATTCGGAGTTTCTAGATTTCCATGAAGGGAGTTTCTCTTGTCGGATGTGATTCCCACAGCGGTCTGGGCGTTACTCAGAACCACTCAAACCATTATTGCGCCTCTTTCTAACTTTCATTTATTTGATACTGGAAAAACTTTGTTTTGCCCCCGGAGTCTTAAATGTTAATTTCAATTTCAAAAAGACATTGTCTCCAGGCCGAACTGTTCATTATTTCAAAAAGACATATACTGACAAAGACTGTATTGTTTATTGTAAAAGACTGGTTGAATGTTTGTTATGGAAGACCATCTGGAATTTACCAAACAAGTATTTATTCGAAAATAAAATTAAGGAAATAACTTTTATAATCTTACACAGGTACTACCTAGTAAATTATTTTATTTTTATCTGAACTGTTCGGTTTGCAATACATTGGCTGAAACCGGTTTCATTTTTTTTGGCATTGCGCCCATGTAAGAACATTTTGGAAAGATTTGTCTAGTTTTATAATTGACAATATTGACCACACTTTTACTAATATCCCCTCAAATAAAAGGAAAGAATACTATATTATAAATATCATTTTTGCTAAATTCCATATACATAAATGTAAGATTTATGCAGATGTATATAGAGTATTTTTCACTCACACAATAAGAAAGCACTTAAAACTGTTTCTGTTTTTGAATCCTTTGATATATTTATGTTTCTCTTCCCCCTGGCTGTCTGGTTTTCTGTGTGTATATGTGTATTATTGTAGATCTGACTGTACATTGACTTTGTTTGAAGTTTTTTTTTTAAACTGATTCATTTGGACTCACACAGACATCAATAATCTGCATATGAATCTTAACAATGGTGACATGCTTCGTGCCACAATGCATGCTGGGAGACACCATAGTTTAAAACCCATTGCTCCCAGCATGCATTGCTGCTGTGTGAGAAAACAAGATAACACATACAGAAACAAAACGAGAAAGACAAAGAATGTATTTCATTATAAAACTTTATTGAAGGTTTGTTTCTCCTGGATCAGGATGGAATGATATGAAAAAGATGTGAGAGCCAGAGACTGATAAAACCAGACATTTAAGAGAAAGAAAAGTTCAGTGTTCTGCGTTGCACCCGTTCACTTTAAAACCATTCAGAACTCAACAACAGCCGTATGAACATCCACATGAAGCGTCTTGAGAAGTGTTCGTTCAACTCTACACACTGCATTTCAAACGCCGTCTGTTCATTTCAACACAATAAGTGTGCTTTCAGTTACACCAGTCCTTTTAAAACAACAGGTCGTTGGGAAAGCACTGCTCATATTTAAATAAACACAACAGTGAAACCCGAACCGCATCGGCTGACTTTGTAAGAGTTTCTCGACAGCATCTGTTGAACCTCCACTTTGGCCTCTTGATCATTGGCAACGTGTAAAATCTAGCAGAAATAAACATAAAACAAGCTGACGCTAGAAGCCGTGCGGCTCTCAGGACACGCCGGCACTGAGATCTCAGGCTGGCCCGTGTGAAAGGAAACACATGAGCACTGAAGCAGTGACCGCGTCCTCTAGCAGAAGCTGGGCCGGGATTGGCTGTGACAGGCGTGATGCGCTGCTATAGTTTCAGTGTTCCCGCTGGAAGACTTCCATTGCACAGTCTGTAGAAGCGCAGATCGTTCACGATACGATACACTCCCTGAGAGAACGACGGCAGGTCCTGTGAGGGGCGGAGAAGACAGGGAAAAAGAGACGTGACTTGCGTGTTAAAACATGAAGACGGTTCACAATGCAACACTGTACACCTATGACATCATCATCCAAACCGGTCTTAAAAATGTCCTGGTCGTATTGCACTCTAATTTCCATAGAGAGAGAGGAAGAGAAAATAAATAAATAAATAAATTTATATAAAAAATAAAAAGTTTGGAAACATTGATTACTATTTTTAATGTTTTTGAAATACTTTTACAAAAGATTTCTATTTTAAATAAATTATGTTCTTTTTAACTTTTTATTAATCAAAGTTAAAAAGAAGATAACTTTGATTTTATTAATCAAAGTTAAAAAATGTCTTCAGACAGCTGTAGGTGCGTTCCATTCGACAGGGTCCCCTACCAAGCGGCAACATTCTAATCTGAAAAATGAAGCCTACCCGGAAGTGCGAAAAACTGCAATACATCGAAAATCCGCTAGAGGAAGGTCCCAAAAGGGAGCAAATATCCACAGACCCCATGTTAAAATGTCCGTTTTCACAGCATAAATTCATGTTTTTACAGGTTGGTCCCATGGACTTTTATTGTATTTTTCGATAGGTTCCGAGTGCCTGACAACTGTGAGGGGGATGAATTTTTTTCTAACTCGTTAGTTTAG